TCCATGCCCCACGCCGGCGGGTCCTCTCTGGGCCTGCTCCCTCACACTGGCCTTCACCGCTCTCCCCACCCTCAGAAAATGGACTACTTCTGTGCCTCCACGGTCATCCTGCACTCCATCTATCTGTGCTGTGTCAGGTGAGCCTACCTCGGTGGCTGTGCGGGCAAAATCAGTCCCTGGGGACAGAAAGCAGTCACCCAGTCCTCCCCTGGGGGTGCTGCTCCAGGGCCGCCTCCAGTGGTTTCTGGACACACACCCCCCTCAGGGCTGCCCTGGGTGGGAACTCTGGGGGTGGGACTGGAGGTCCTGGCTTCCTGCCAGGAACTAGAGCCCATGGTCCCAGACCTCTGGGAGGGTTGGAGGCCTGTCTAGCTGGCCTGATTTGGTGGAGAGAGGAGTGGTGGCTTCAGGGACCACATGCTGGTGTTGGAGGGAGGAGATGCTTGGGGAATGCTGCTCAGGGAACCGGCCACCGGTCGTCTGAGCGGCTCTGGGCGGTGGGGCAGGACCGTGGGGCTGCAGCACCCGGCTGTGGCCAATGTCTTCCGGGCCCTCCTGCTGCTCTTGCTGACCGCGCACGTCTCCTACCTGAGTCTCATCCACTTCGACTATGGCTACAACCTGGCGGCCAACGTGGCTATTGGTGAGGCCGGACTGAGGCCGGTGGGAGGGGCCGGGGGCGGGGCCATCCACAGAACTGCTGGCGTGGTGGGGGGCTCGGTTCCATTCCTGGAGGAGGTCTAGAGAGACTCTTGGGGTGGAGGAAGTGGGGGGAGTTTGGGTGGGGTGGGAGAGGGGGAGACTGGGAGGAGAGTCTGAGGATGACCCTGGGGTCAAAGAGCATGGAGCTGGGGGTGGTCTTAGGGAGATGGAGTCCAGAGAGAGCAGAGGATGACCCTCTCTTACCCTCCCCCTGTGCCCAGGCCTGGTGAATGTGGTGTGGTGGCTGGCCTGGTGCCTGTGGAACCGGCGACGGCTGCCTCATGTGCGCAAGTGCGTGGCGGTGGTCCTGCTGCTGCAGGGACTGTCCCTGCTTGAGCTGCTCGACTTCCCGCCTCTCTTCTGGGTCCTGGACGCCCACGCCATCTGGCACATCAGCACCATACCTGTCCATGTGCTCTTTTTCAGGTTGGTGATACTCACTGTTTGGTATTACCTTCTATGCGCCCTTTCTTGCTCACCCCTTAGGGGAGGCTCCGTGCACCCCGATGCCTCCTCCCAGAGCTGTAGTTCTCATTGGACTCCTCCCTTGGCCCACAGCTTTCTGGAAGACGACAGCCTGTACCTGCTGAAGGAATCAGAGGCCAAGTTAAAGCTGGACTGAAGACCCTGGGAGTGGGTCTGCTCCGTTGGGTATCCTGCCCCATCCCTGCTGGTTCCCCATCTCGCCTCGCCACTTGAGAGGATTTATTTTCTCCTTTTAGCTTCTTGAACTTGGACATGAGGGGTGTGGGCCCAGAATCGTGTGGCCGGCCCGCCCCCTACTGGCCCTCACAGGTCCTGGAGCCTGTTCTGGGGAGGCCCTCCCGGCCCCGGGCAACCCCTCCGCTTCCTGGAGCTGCACTGGGGATGGAACCGCCTGCGTTCTTAGCTCTGCCCAGAGGCAAGCTGCAGTTTCCTCCCCATCATCTTCCTCCCCACATGCCCCACTGCCTGGCTGGATTCCAGAGTCCTCTGTCTACCTGGGAGACCAGGTACCCAAGGCCTTTGGGGATACAGTGGGGTCCCCTTCTTTTCCCCTGCCCTCCTCCAGGGCACCACTAGGTGGCACTGGATGCTTGCTCTTTGGCTGGTGAAGTTTCGAGGCCAGTCTCTTTCTCTCCATGGAGGCCTCACTGCGCTCCCCTTCAGGGTCAGGACTCCAGCAGGCCAGGACATGTGTCTTGTGCTACCCTTGCAGTTGGGAGCCTGCACGGTGTGGGGCATGTGGGCCAGGCTGAGTGTGTAGGTGCCCGGGCAGGGAGCGTGGGCTTGGGTGTGCATGGACTCAGGCTGGGTGTGCAGTGTGCAGAGGGCTGTGTGTGCAGGGAGGTTTCCGAGTGTGTGTGTTCTGGGGCCAGGGTGGTTGGAGACCGTACATATGAGTGCTTGTGGGTGCATGTCTGAGATGAGTGTGAATGCAGGTGAGTGTGCCCCACAGCCAGGGAAGGTTGAAGCAGGGTGGGGCACCCTGCCACCACCCGCAGTCACGGAGCACCAGCTCTGCCAAAGGCCCCAGCCGGGCCGACAACCGGGACAGTCCCATGATGACACTGGGGCTGGGTGTCCAGGCTGCGTGTGTACATGTGTTCCTGCCTGGTGCCCCTTGCCATCCCCTCCAGGCCTCTCGGGGTCCCCACACAACTGAAGAGCACCCTTCAGGACTTAACCTCTCAGGGCAGGGGAAGGAAAACGGGGATCCCCAGTGGTCTCCTCGCCTTGGCATGGTTGGCCTCCCCACCGTGTCCCCTGTCCCTGCTAGCTCCTTGGCTACCTGGACTTCGGGGAGGGGCAATGGCAACCGAGGGAGAGTGGCTGGGCCTGGTTTCTGCCCTCCCTAGAGAGGGTCACTGCTCCAGAGTAGGCAGGAGCCACACTGTGCCTGCATCCTGGTGAAGGTGCCCCCTGCCAGTTGCCGGCAGCCCTGGCACATTCCTGCCCCACAAGGATAGAATGTGGAGCCCCAGGAACTCTCCATACCTAAGGCAGTCTCTGTGACTGAAGCAGGGAGACAGGGTTTCTGCTCTGTCCCTGTCCCCTTGGGGGAGGGAGTTATGTTAAGGACTCCCAACCTCAGGGAGTTGGACAACCTGTGTTAGGGTCTTTTGATACTGAAAACAATTTTAATGTGGGAAGGTAGCAAGGGGTGTGCTCAATAAACCAGTTCTCAGCCTCACCTACCCTTGCTCCGTTCATGCGTGTGAGAAAGGGGAGCTGGAAGGAAGGAGGAGACAGTTGTGGGGGCAGGGGGAGAACCCAGAGCTGGGGGGGGGGGGGGATGGGGACACCAGATGCAGAGCTGGGCAGAGCTCAGGTCCAGCGTGGGGAGGGAGCTGGTGTCCGTTCCTTCCCTCTCCCTCCCTGGGGCATTGTGCTTAGAGTGTAACCCCCACCTCCCCACCCCCAGTCTCCTCTTCATCCCCACTCTCCTGCTTCTGGTCTGAACCAGGCTGCACCACCATTTGTGGCTTAACCTCTCTGAGCTTCACCTGGAAACAGGCTGCCGGGACCTGCTGCTGAATGACGTGACTGACAAAACCATATCACAAATGCCTGTTGCACTGCAGGGGACTGAGCTCCCCACGACCTTGGCCTCCCTTAGTTTGAGAAGAATGAGTGGTATAGAAAGCTACCTTCAAGGAAGCTTCTGGCAAAAAAGAAAGCTTAGGGTTTCTCCCACATCCCGACATACCGAAGAGATCTCCGCGCCAACAGACAGCACTGACGCTCAGCTGCAGGAACCATTTCTTTATTAGGCGCCACCTCAGCTAATAGGGACTCTGGGCGAGTGGGGTAGTCTGCAGGGCACCGGGGGCATTGGGCCCTCACACCCCCGCCCCCACCTTCTTCTGGGCCCAGGCAAAGAAGACGCCCTTGACGTCATCTACGCCTGTCCGCAGGTGATCGGGCATGATGTAGGTACGGAGGTCGCGGACCTCATAGCCGCTCTGCACCAGGGCCTCCCTCACCTCCTCCTCACACACCGGCACCACCACCAGCCTGGCCTCCCCCGCCAGGTACCACGACTCCTCCAGGCCCCCGATGAGCAGCAGGTGGCCCCCAGGCTTCAGCAGCATGGTGATGTGGCCCAGGGCCCGCTGGAAGCTGGCGAGGTCTGGGCTCACGGCCTCCAGGCAGAAGGCGGAGATCAGGGCGTCGGCGGGCAGGGGCGCCCGGCTCCCCGCGCCCAGGGGCTGGGGCAGGTGCACGTCCACCGGCAGGACCCGCTTCACCCTGGCTCGCAGCTGGCGCTCCTTCTCCTGCCAGGACTCGCTGCGCGGGGGCACAGGCGGCTCAGGACTGCCCCACACTCAGTCCTCTGTCGCCCCACTGGCCACTCCTGGGGAAGCCCCTGCCCGACGCCCACCCCAGCCCTTACCCCTTGCCCTCAATGAGGCAGGCGTGCTGGCTGTACGCGCTCCAGTTGAACGCCCCCGGCTCCTCCCGCAGCCAGAGCTCCAGCTCCTGGCGGTTGGCCTCCAGGAAGTCCGTCATGGTGATGTCCTCGAAGTGGGCGCAGGCGCTCAGCAGCTGGTATATGGTGGGCCCTGAACCGATGTCGATGAGGCTGCGTCCAGACACCTCACCTGGGGGGCAGAGGAAGGGGTCCAGGTGCCAGGCCTGCCGGGCAGCCCCTGCCTCAGCCACGCGCCGTCCTCCCCTGCGTCTCCCTCGCTCTAGTTCTTCCCGCCTCTGCGTGTCTCCTTCTGGGGAAAGCATTGACCCCAGAGTGAGACTGAGCCCAGCGAGTCCCGACTCCGGCGCCCACCGGCTTACCTTGGGGAAGGAACTGAGCCCCTCTGAGACTCAGCTTCCCCATCTAGACAACGGCTCCGACCCGTGAGGACCACCTGGGGAATCCCGCGGGCCGCCGGGTCCCTCCGGCTCCATCTCTGCCTCCACTTCTTTCTCTCTTCATCACAGTCTCTCTCGGAAGGCCTCCCCACCCCAACTCTCAGTTCTGGGCCCTCTCCCCTCCCCGCCCCTCTTTCCAGCCCTCTCTCCTCTGCCCCTCTCCTAAGGGCCACCGCTCCTTCCTCTTCTCCTCGCACCTCTCTGCTTCTTGGTCCCCACCTGGCTGGCTGGCTCTCTTCCTCTTTCTCTCGCGTCTCCCTTTGGCTCCCCGCTGACTTCTTGTCTCCCGTGCCGGCTTCCCCGAGCTCACCGGTGGCAAAGGTCTGTGCCAGGCAACGCAGC